TAAACATTTTTTGTGTTGTTTTTATTTACGGGGCATATCAATATACACACATAAGTATATATAATTACGGATATATATATATATATATATACATGTATATATATATATACATAATTAGGGCGAAAATCGTGTTTCAATTAATATAAGTAACTAAATAACGAGTTAAAATTATTAGATATAAGCATACAAATAGCGTGTATATATATATATATATATATTATTGTTTACATATGAATTATTATTTAAAAATTGAATTCTTTAAATTTATATTTATCAAAGGGCAAATAAAAATAACTTGTTTCAAAAAAAAAAAAAAAAGTTGAACAGTTTCCAAAAAAATTTAAAAAAAAAAAATCTGTTTTCCTAAGCATTTTTTAGTGATTTTTTTCTTCTTCTCGTTTTATTCCTTTTTTTTTGGGGGATTTCATTGTTTTTTTTAGTGTTTTTTTTTTTGTTTTGTTTTAGGTTTAGGTTTATCAATTATTTCAACAACTATGCATACATACGTTAAATATATATATAGATATAGATATATATGTGTGTGTGTGTGTGTAAAATAAAAAATCTATAAACGTAAAAGTGTTTATGCAACAGTGCAACAGACGCGTGTTGCAAGTTTGTTGTTTTTGTTTTTTTCATTTCTCTTTATATGCGAGGATTTAGAGGTTTTGGTTGTAGTTGTTGTTGTTGTTTTTTGTTTTGTTTTCACTTGGATTCAAAAAAAATAATATATATATATATATATATATATATATATTTATATATACATATATATTTGATTAAATTAAATTTAATTATTGTATAAAATGCAGTTTTACATTGTTTTACGTTTTCTTTCTTTGTTTTAAGATTAACAAATAAATGAAATTGCTTTTTGTAACTGTTTTTGTTTACATTTTTTGTTGCTGTTTTTTTTTTTGTTTTTTGTTTTTTTTAAATAACATTTTTCCATTTTTTTTTTTGTGTTTTGTTTTGTTTGTCTGTTTTGTTTTATTGTTGCAGATAAATTTGTACGGTTTTCAAATTGTATTTAAACTCTGTTTTTTGTTTTTGTTTTTTGTATATGCTATAGGAAACTAAGTGTGTGTGTGTGTATGTGTGTGTATAATTAAATTTGCATGTGTGTGTGTGTGTTGTTGTACAATATTCTGTTGCTTAAGCCTATTGCTCTTTGCGGCGCTTTCGTCCCGAATTTACTGGTATTTTTTCTTCGTCTATTTTATTTTCCTTTTATTTCTGTTTCTGAGTCTAGTGTAAATGTTTGAAAATATTGGGTATCGTTTTCTTTTTGATTTTGGTTTTTTTCTCCTTTTTTTTTGTTTTTCTTTTTTTGTCACTAGTTTTTAACGAGATTTCTATTTACAGTTGGTTTTAACAACAAAAAAAAAAATATGTTTTTTTTTAATATAGATTTACAATTTTTTTTGTTTTTTTTTTGTGTTTTTTTTTATATAAAAATTGAATTTGTTTTCCATAAATTGCTTAAACACCTGAATAGCATTTAACATATAACAATTTTTTTTTGTTTTTTTTTTTTGTTTAATATTTTAATATCGAGTTAAATAAAGTGTATAAGTATATATCATATATATATATATATATATATATATATATATATATATATATATATATATAATATATATATTATATATATATATATATATATATATATATATATATATATATATATATATATATATATATATGTGTGTGTGTGTGTATATGTAAAAAATATTAAAAAAAAAAAAGAATATATGTGCATACAATATAGAATTGTATAATATATATATATATATATGTCGGGGAGCGGGCGGGTTAGCGGGAGGGGGAGGGCTGCGACTGATGCGCAGCTGCTTAAGTATACATTTTCATTACAATAGTATTTGTTTGTTGTGTATCTTTGTTAAACATGTTCCATAATATATTTATATTTATATATTTACGACGCGTTTGCAAGCCCTGTTAGAAAAATAGAAAAATTGTCCCAGCAATTCTTGTATGTTTAAATTAAGCATAGGTTAGTTAGGAACCCAGATGTACCAGGTAAGACATCAAGTAGCAAAAAATGCGATACATATAAATATAGTGTATGCAGCCTAATAAATTATATATCTAGATATATGTATATATATTTATATATGAAGAACAATTTCTTCAATATTCCATGAGCGCTATTTGCCAAAAAAAAAAAAAACCAAAAAAAAAAAGGACGTGCCCATAAAAAAAAAGCTACTTACGCACTAACTTCGTTGAAAAGTCGCTATGAATCGATCATATACATCATATCATATCATATCATATATATATATATGTGTGTGTGTGTGTGTGTGTTACTCTAGTTAGTTGTACTAGCTTCCTATTAGTTTCTAGTTAGTATGTGTTCTTCTGCTGTTCTTGTTGTTGTTGTTGTTGTCGTCGTTGTTTATCAAAAACCAAGCAAATTAAACCTAAATAACAGTTTTCGCATCAAGTTGTTTTTTTCCTTCTTTCTTTTTTTTTTTAAGTTTTCGACTTCATTTTTGTTTTGTTTTTTTTTTTAATAGTATTTAGTGTAAGTATTCTATTGAATTGTATCCTGCATATATATACATATATATATGTATATATATATATAGCTCTTATTAGCAAAAAAAAAAAAAATCGACAGTTGAACAGCTGACAAAGTTTGCTTCGGCTCAAAAAACATTTGCAAACTAGGCAGCCAAAAATTTTACATTTTCTTGTTATTCCTCTCCTCTCTCTCTCTCTCTTTCCTTCCTTTCTTCTTCGTTTCTTTCTATTTCTTTAGTAGTTTTTCTAACAATATAATCCTATTGCTCCTATTTTCCTTGTGCTTCTATTTTTTTTCTTTGTTTTTTTTTTTTGTATGGTTTCTCTTTCATTCTCGTCTTCTTCCTCTTGTTTTCGTTCTCGTTTTCGCGCATTTCATATGCATAGCTAGAAATTTGTTAAAGACATATCCTAAGCATCTATATATATCTATATATATATATAGCATATCTGAAGTATGTGTTTGGGCACAGAAAACAAATGTGTTTTAATAATTTCTAAGTTGTATAAAGTTGTTTACATGTTCATGATGTAAAATTGAAAAGGGTTTTCTATATATCTATGTATATAATTCTTTATATCCAAAATAATTATGGAGAGAAAAAAAAATATAAACTAAACCGCATCGTGTTTCTATATAGGCAGTAAAAAATTGTTTAAGCGCATCTTGCGTATGTCTAGGAAAGCTAATGCACCGATATTGCGGCCGATAACAGTTATAGCGATATATAGCCATTATGGATCTAACAAAGATCGGTGAATTTGTAACGTGTTATTTGAGACGTTCTCGTCGTCGTCGTTCTGCTAGCTAAGGATATATATATACATATATATATATATATATATGTCGTTGTTGATCGTGAAAAAAAAAACAGAAAGAACTATGCAGCTAATTGTATAAAAGATATAAGTTCTATATATATATATATATATAAGATCTATATATGTGTATACACTATGCATATATATATATATATAACTCTATTTTACCTTAATATGTATAAATTGTATTTCTTCTTTTTTTTTTTGTTGTGTTTTTTGTTTTTTTTTTTTTATAGAGTTTGCATTTCATTTGCTCTCATTTTGGCGCTGCTTCAAAAATCGCGCTCAATTCTACTCCTTCTCTTCTTTCTCTTCCTTCTCTTTCTACTCTTCTTCTTTCTCGTGCTCTCGCTAGCTATCTTCTTAAGCTATCGCTGCGTGTTTTGACTCTTATATTCGCTCTTCTTTCCTTCTCTCTCGCTCTCGCTCTCGCTCTGACATTCGCACAAAATGGCGACCATGCTGCCAGCTCTCGCCCTCTCTCTCACTCTCTCTCCTTCGCTCCTTCTCTCTCTGACCGCCTGCACTCCCATTTCGCGCATATTCTTCTCTTTTGTATAACATGTTCGTGTTGTTTTGGTTTTCTTTTTAGTGGCTCGTTCGTTGCAACTTTGTCTGTTTTCCGTTTCCGTTTCCGTTTTTTTTTTCTAGTTTTTTTTTGTTGTTTTTTTTTTCTTTTTTTGTTTTCTCCGTTTGTTTGTCTTGTCCTTGTTGTTCTCTTTTTTTTTTTTTTGTTGTTATTCAATTCATGGTTAAGTAAATAGAAACTAAGATCCTAAGCATATGTACAAAATAGGATAAAGAGAAAAGAGGATTTGCTTGGGGCAAAAATGGATTGAACAAAACCATTTCCGGCGTTTCCCTCCTAATTCTATTCTTAATTATCAACATTTCGTTTATAGTTTTAGTTTTGCTTCCAACTTGCATTTTGCTTGCTTCAAAATCAAATCAAAAAATATCACATTAAAGAAATCCAATTTAAATCACTATCTTACAGATACACCTAAACATATATGCATATCCATATCCATATCTCTATATATACATACACATATATATATGTAAGCATATGTATATATATGTGTGTGTGTGTGTGTGTGTGAGCTATATAGAGCAGTATATAAAGCCAAAGCTGAAAGCTTTCAAAAAAGCACGTCTAGTAACATGTACGCGTAGGTTATATATATATATATATATTATATATATATATTATTTGTTTTTTTTTCTTATTTTGTTTAACTATTCTATTCGACGATCGTTTGTTTATAGCATCCGGTGCATAGATGTGTTTTTTAAGCAGCAAATTTAAAAAAAAAAAAAAAACAAAAAAAAAATTGTTACATCTAACAGCATCGTCATCTTTATCTTTATCATTATCATTATCATTATCATTGTTGTTGTTATCAGTGTTGTTATTATTTGTATTATCATTATCATTATCATTAGCATTAGCATTATTGTTATGATTATTATTATTATTGTTATTATTATTGTTATTGTTATTGTTATTATCAACATCGAGACTTGGTTCGATCGATCGTTCGTACGCTCTACTGGCTAATACTAAAAACTGATATTGAAGTTCAAAAATGCTTCTGTGAGCCTACGTCAAAATACACTTAAAAGAATTATCGTGTAACTTTTGTGTGCAACACTTTTTCATATGGTCATCATCATCATCATCATCATCATCATCATATCGGTTATTTTGCTTTTCCTCTTTTCCTTATCCTTTTCCTTATCCTTATCCTCTACCTTTTCTTCTTTCTTTCAATATATATATGTATATATATTCATGTGGGCCGGGATCGCTTGCAAACGCGTTGTAACCTTATGTCCCTCCTTATTTATTTGCCCTCCCCCCCTCGACGGCTTTCCCCCAACCATATCCACAATGATGATCACCCCCCGTTTACCCTTTACCCACCACTTACGGCTACCGCTATCATCATTCAGCTGCACTCTTGCTCAGACGCAGTCGGGCGAGCAGCTCCTGCTGCTGCTTGAGCTTCGCCTTCAGGAGCTGGCGCTTGAGGCTGAGGTCGCGCTCCTCGCTGGTGAGATGCTCGCAGAGCTTGGCCGCCTCGCGCAATATGTTGACCTTGGGTGCACGCTCCTTGTCCCGTATATTGGGTATCTGCGTCTTCAGCGCCTCGAACAGATTCTTGAGCCCGATGCGCCGCTGACGTTCCATATCGTTGTGCAGATTGCGCTTCTCGATCGTGTCCGCCTCGTCTATGCTGAGCTGGCGCTTCAGCATGTTGCTGCTGTTGTTGCCATTGTTGCTGTATCTGTTCGCACTGGAACTCGGATTCGCAATGCCAGTGCCAGAGCCGGAGCCAGAGCCGGAGCCAGAGCCGGAGCCGCCTGTGACAATCGAGTCGAGCGGGCTCTTGTCATCCAAATCATGGAACTTGGACGGGCGCTGAGCGTAGCCAGCGTTCACCTTCTTCACGCGACTCTTCTTCGCCGCGACCAGGCTGATCATATTGCTGCGCTTGTTCGAATACATCCTCGACGTGCAGTCGGACATGTAGTAGGGCTTGCGCCCCTTGCCATCCAGCATCGTTGCCGGCGGCGTTGTGCAGTCGCTGATGATGCTACTGCTGCTGCTACTGCTGCTGCTGCTGCTGCTGCTGCTCTGGGAGAGGCTTTCGGGCGAGTAGCTGGCCGGCACAGCGCCAGCGCCCTGATAGGGCGTGCTCGATGGCGAGGCGTAGCGCGAATTGACTACGGACTTGACCGGACTGCTGCTGGCCGGCGTATAGGGTAGATCGAATCGTTTCGATTGTAGGATTCGGGCATCACTCGAGATTTTGTAGGCGATATTCGTTTGCAGAGCGCGTCGATCACGATCCGATGGATTTGTGGGCAATTTCTTGTCATTGAGCGAGACAACATCGATTTCCTCATCTGTAGCGAGAACGAGAGTCAGACGAAATGAGATCTAATTAGTAACGAGTAGCGAGTGACGAGTAATTTCAATTTGAATGCAAAAGAGAATCATTAAAAATGAACATAACGAGAGAAAAAATAGTTGCGAGTGAAATTGAATAGATAGTTTGTAGCTGGACGAGTGCCTTGCAACGAATGAGAAGTAACGAGTAACGAGTGACGAGTAATTTCAATGTGAAAGCAGGAGAAACCCGAAATTATCACATAACGAGATCAAAATAGTAACGAGTGGAATTGAAAAAGAACGAATAACTGGACGAGTGAGTGTCTTGCAACGAATGAAAAGTAACGAGTGACGAGTGACGAGTAATTTCAATTTGAATGCAAGAGAATCCCTAAATGATCACATAACGAGATCAAAATAGTAACGAGTGGCATTGAAAAAGAACAAATAACTGGACGAGTGAGTGTCTTGCAACGAATGAAAAGTAACGAGTTGCCAATAACAAGCTTATATCAAATATAATAAAATATTGTACTAGACAAGCCCCGCAAACGTCTAGCGAATGTCAACGACAGTTCAATGACTACCCAAAGCATAGCAACACGATGATGTCATTGTGTGTGCATGTGTGTGCGTGTGTGTGTGTGTGTGGGTGCGTATGTGTATTGCGTGGGTTGGTGTCTATGCACGGTGGGAGGGGCAGGAGGCGTGCGTTGTGGCCCACGCAAAGCGGATTACTGTGTCAACGTTGCGAGGCATGTGGCCCGACGCCACTTGCAACAGTATCAGAATTCAGGAAGCAATAGATTTGCGCACAGACAATGAAAAGCGAGAACCCCCCCCCCCCACACTCACCCACGCCTTATACTGACTTTTGACGTCAGACGCCGCGCACAGCAGAAAGCTAAAGGTGGAGGTGGCTGTTGGGCGGGCAGGGGCTGGTGGAGTTTGGTTGTCTGAGCAGCTTTTGCGTGGGTTGCGCAACGCACTTTGCAAAAGCAAGAACAACAATTATCACAAGTAAGGCGTGAAGGCAAGGCCGCCGATAACGGTATAACGCAAATATGCTGTTTCGCATACAGAAAGAGAGAGAGAGAGTGAGAGCGAGAGAGCGCAGTCTACACTTCCTCTGCTGCGATCTGTGGCCACCCGCGACCACCGCGGGGGGGGGGTTTCAGCTTCCGTTGCTAATTTGGCTCTTCCGTTGCCGCGCGCGTCCATTGAACCAAGTGACGTCGACGTCGACGCTGACGCCGCAGTTGTTGCAATCAAATGTTGAGGGCCGGCCCCATTTTGAATGCGTTTAATCAAATTACAAAAACTGCCGAAAAAAAAGAAATTAACAAAGCGTATAAAAAGAAAATGCGAAATTAAGAAACTTTTGCTACAGCTTATCAAGCTGCTACTAATCCTACCCCCCCCCCCCCCCTCCATCGCACCCGCAAACAGTCCCAAACGAATATTTGCACAAATACTGATAACACATGTTCGCATGTATGTGTACAGTCGCCTTGGCAACTATGCAAGCGAGCACAAGACAAAGATCAGAGAGAGAGGGAGAGAGAGAGAGAGAGAGAGGAGAGAGGAAGCGGCGGGCAGAGCGGCGAGGCGAGTTGTCTGGCCACAAAAGAAGTCGAAGAATGCGCGCGAGCAAAAAAGCCCAAATAATAAAATAAAACCTAATGGAAGAGAGCTTCAAAGTTCAAGCTGCAAAGCTTCAAGTTCCGCGCTCGACATTTCAAGTCCAAGTCCAAGTCCAAGTGCAGTGCAGCAGAGCGAGCGACCGCGACCGCGACTGCGACTGCGACTGCGACCGCAGTGAACGAAATCGAATCGAAGCCAGGTGAAAGAGAAGAGGCAAGAGCGAGAGGCAACTGAAGAGTGGCAGCGGCAGCCAAGCGTTGCCCCAGTGGGCCAACCACCACCTTTGGCAACATGTTGCATGAGTCAATTGCGGCGAAGCGCATTGCATGCATTATCAATACACGTTTTGCGGCAAAGTTTAACAACAACAACAACAAAAAGTCACCCAACCACCACCGAACATGATGATGAACATCATCATGCTGTTGGCTAGACAAGCAGCAGACCTTACCCGAGACCCCAGCAAGAATGTTGCCCAACGGCCATTTTGTTGTTGCTTTACTTGGAGCCGCAGCAACATCAATTGGAATGTGGCCGCAGCAGCAACAATGTCCCTCTTCATGTTGCTGACACAGCACAAAATGTTGCTGTGCACTTTTGGCACTTGTTTGTTTTTTTTTTTTCTCTCTCTCTCTCTCTCTCTTTTATGTTTTAAAGACCACCGCAAAAGCTCAAAGCGAAGATGTGCAAGAGAACGAAAGACCGCACACAAGCGTCGACATTGCATGATTTGCATTTTTACGAGGAGGCGGCGGCCGTCAAGTAAAAATTGTTGTCAACAACAACAACAACAAGAAGAAGAAGAAGAACAACAACAACAATCACCACAAACGGCACCTCATAAACATTCCAAACGTTGCACAAATCGATCAACTGAGAATGCAACTATTTAAACACTGTCAAAGTCCGGAAAATGTTCTCAAAAATAATTTATGCGAACTGCAATTACAATGAACAGCAGACGAGGGGGTATGCATAGAGCGGGAGCGGGGAAGTGGTGTGTAGAGTTAGGCAGCAGGCAAAGCTAACAGAAGTTAAACAAATGCATAAGCTCACTGTCGCAGCTTTAGTAGCGCTGCCGCTGCCGCTGCTGGCGTCGCAGTTGCGCCAACGAAAACCAGACAAACTCGTTTACAGCGCTGAGCGACAGCTTGGCAACTTTTGTTGCTAAGCGCGCCAAGATCAAATCAAGACAACAGCCAGCTAAAATAGTAATAATAATAATAATAATAATAATAAAGCACAATTGCCAGCCAAAGCATAGAGGAAACAGCTTGTTGCTGTTGCTGGCGTAGTTAATTACAATTGCAAATAAAATGCACACACACACACACACACACACACGGCATTTAATAAGTTGCGCAACTTTTATGCAGCTGCCGGTTGCCTGTGGGCGGCAAGCGAAGAGCAACAAAAGAGCAACGATAAACACAAACACACGCACACTTTTGCCCTACAAAATTTGCATACTGAGTTTAATTGAAAAACGAAAGATGCACTGCGCCAGAGGAGAGCACAAAAGGGACAGCAAATGACAAGTGCATTGTATAATTTACGGCAATTCGAGACGAAAGAGCTAGAGAGTGAGAGAGCGAAAGAGCAGCACAGCGTACGTATGTATATATATATATATATATATGTATGTATGTATGCATGCAATTTCACCAAGCGGCCAGCCAGCCAGACGCAAATGTTAATTCAGGCGCAGCAGGCGGGCAGCGACGTCGGCATCGGCATCGGCATCGACGTCATTGCTGCCCTCGGCTACAACTACTACCGCTGCTCTTGATAATACACGAGATAAAGAGCAGATAGAAAGAATGAAGACGAAAAAGCTGTTCCGCTGCTGCTGCTGACGCAGTCTCTCTGTCTCGTTTGCACACCACTTAAGCACACACACACACACATACACGGGCGCAAAAAGCTTTAAAATTGAGCAATGTAAACACAACTGTATACAAAGCGCGCAAATGAAATTGAAATCGAAATAAAAGTAAAAATGGCATATGATGTAATTCTCACATGAGGAATTTCAAGCCTATAAAAGAGACGAGACGCTGAAAATAATGAAGATACAGTGGTACACAGGCGTCATGTCTGTGCTCGCACAAACTTTGTTGCCCACTGTGCAGCAAAAATTCATAAAATACTTATACAAATATTCTATAAATTTCTAGCAACAACACAAAGCTGACGACAATATGGCAACGCCCTCGCATCGGGTTGGGGGTGTGGTCGTTTATGTTGTTGTACGCTTGTAAATTGTTAAATAACATTTCTTATATTCAATTGCTTCTCTCTCTCCCTCTCTCTCTCTCTCTCTCTCGCTCCTACTTGTTCCGCTTGCGCTTTCCTCTTCTTACGCTCTTCGGTCACATAGAAAATAAAGAAAGAAGGCAACACCAAAACAGGAAGAACTAGAAGAAGCACGAGTTTCAAAAAAAACTTGTTTGTTTTCTTCTTTTTTTTTTATTGTGGTTTATTCATATTCCTGTATTGGAATCAACTGGAATTTCACGACACTTTTGACAATGATTTCATTGTGAATTGGAATAATTCACAATTTACATGTGCATTTACGTGTGTATATACATATGTATATGATCAGTTTATGGGTTTATTATTCGTGTTCCGTAGAAATCTTGCTGATCTTAGAAAACTCACAATTTCATTGGGCGTACAGTGCCGCCAAAACTGTGTTCCCACGCTCGCGCAATGCCTGCCAAACTGCAGGATAAAGCCTAACCAAAGTCAATTGCAAGACTGGTCGAGGTAGAGGGGGGGGGGGGGGGTGTCTATGCTGTCAGCATGTGTTAGCAACATGTCTCGCGTTTTGCGGTTTTCCTTGCAATAAACAGCAAGCGTCTTTGCTGCGCCGTCGCTGCGCCGTCGCTGCGCAGTCGCAGCCTGCCTGCTGCTGCTGCTTCTGCTTCCCACGAGCGCGCTTTGCTTTGCTCGGCGGCAACAAGAATGCATCTCAAACTGCAACGTCTGCAACTGCAACTTGTTGCCGCAACCAACAATTGCGATTTCATGCTTCGCCTGCCCCACACACACCGTTATGAGTCATCCTGGAGCCTCACCCTGTTTCAAATGACAAATGTCACCAGATCTAAAAGCAGCAAAAAAAATAGAAACCCCCCAAAAACTATAAACATAAAAAGTCGTTAAAAGTAGGGGGGGTGGGGGGGAAGAGTGGCGTCGGCGTGCACCGCCCACTGGCAGTGCCGCAATGCGCCAGCGTCTAACACACACCCACACACATACGTTATAAATTATGAAAATGACAACAATGAACTGCGTCTGGCAACATTTTGGGCAGCGCTGGCAACATTTCATATACACATGTATTTGGCGTGCCAGGCTAAAG